GACAGTGGTACCAAGCCCAAGAAGAATCCCAATGAAGGCCGAACGGCCGATCCCCATGGTCGGTCAATCCAAGAGGAAGATAATGCCATTTCGTTCATTGGTTGGTTCGATTGAAGATTCCCGCAGAGCTTTCCTCAAGTGTCGATAGTCAAAATAATGAGATGGCATCCGACTGAACTGAACTGAAGACGCCTCCAAGCGACTGAACCGCGATCTTCTGCCGTTGCGACGCCGTCTGTTCGCTCTCTCTCACTGAATCTTGCATCAATGCCCATGGTCGCTGAATCGGATGCCCATGGTCGCAAATATCGATCCCATCTGTCAAAAAGGCATTACATCATTGTCAAATATCAATCTTACGTGTTGTGAGAGGCTTCGCGGAACGAGAGGAAGTCATCAACATGGGCTCTGACACTGATAAACATGATCGAAAAGGGATGCCCATGATCACGAAACTTGTTGTGCGATTGATTTTGGGTGCAACGGCTAAATCCAAATTGAGTAAAAGGTTCTGTGACTGGAGAGCCGGCCATCTAGTTTAAAACTAAGCCTCACATTTTGCGCTCACATTTTCGAAATCCCATGAAAATCAGCGATTTCAGTCAATCCAATCGTCTGTGCAAACTCTGTGAGATGAGGAAGTCATCAATCCAGCGAAAACGTTTCGTCAGTCTACAGCTAATACCTATGTGCATGGACTGACGAAATGTTTTTGCCCATTTGGAGCTTCCACTTTCTCATAAACGTTGTACAAGCTTTGATTCCGTACTGAAGCATCGGTACGGTAGCCAGAGGGAGTGCTTGGAGCTGAGGTGCATTACAACAACGTTACAATGTCCACGATAAACCATCAAAAGAGAAAAAGGGAGAAGAGCACCAGAATCAACGGTACGTACCGGTATGTGCGGGAGACACTAAAATAGCTTGAACGACAGCATTTTTTTATAAACAACTGTAAATAAATGTAATTAATTGTCACGAGTGCCGGTACCAGGTACGACTGTACTACCTTAGCTCTACTAGTACTAGAACCTAGTACCTCACCCTCCACCGCACCTCCAGGTAAATTGGCTCTTAAGCTTGAAATGGGTTGGTAAAATTTCAAAACAAACAATTTTGCTGAAAATGATTATGACTTGGAACAGAAAGGATCTCTGGCAGGGTATCACTGGCTTTAAAGCCTGGATTCCGGGCATTAAAGCCAGTGTTCCTAGGAACAGAAGCCAGTGATCCAAGGGGTTAAAGCCAGCATTCATTTCTGTTCCACAATGACTTTACTATACAATTATCAGTACAAGCATGTTCCAGCTGAAACAACATAGAAGACTGGCTTTGTTCCCAAATAAGGGAAGCCAGTGTTCCATGGAACACTGGCTTCAAAGCCCGGAATTTAAAGCCTGTGTTCTTTGGAAGACAGGCTTCTCAGTCCTCAAAAAGGAATAAGTACAAAATTACTTAGCTTTCTGGAAATTATTATTATTTTAGTTGAAAAGCTCCTTTACCGAGAGGTGCCGGCACGTAGATGTAGTTGGAGAGAGGAGAGGTGAAGTGTAGTGGAGAGGAGAGTGGAGAGGGGATCTGTGTGCATCTGTACTTCTCTGGCTTGCTAGCTAGTCTAGAAGTCTACCGTATTCAGAGAAGCTTGATGCTTGAAGCTTGAAGCTGGACGAATTTCGACTGTAGCAGAAACAGAGCTACGACTGTGCTGAGACAGAGTGTTTTTGGCTGCTGCCCGTGTGGGTGGTATTCTGGCCAACAATACGTATCGGGCCGAATTCCTGTATGCTGAAAAGGGAGTACAGAGGGCTTCAGGTTTAGTTCAGAGGATGTTTAGATGTGGTCTACTTTACTGACTCCGTTTTCCCAACACTGTAAGGATTCATGATTCGGGCAGTGGGCAGGACACTTTATATGTAGCTGGAAACGAACGAATCTGCAGAATCCAAATTTGTTTTAAGGTCTTAAGAGCATTCAACACCGTGAGAGAGCAAATCCAAAGTATTCAGTCTTGTCAGGACTCACACACCACTCACAAGACATTTCGTTGATAATTTTAGCCCTAAAAAGATTTGCTACCTCATCGGTCAATACTGGTTGCAGCAAACAGCAAACAGCAAAATATCGCCACAATGGCGAAGATGCCGCTGTTTTAACTATGGAGGAAGAAACTTTTACCATTATCGCTGCCACCTGCTTAACAGTAGCTGCCGCTGGAGCATTGCTGGCTGCACTGGACCTTTCGGATGATGAAGAGGAAGCTGTGAGTGATGAAACAGCTCGTACTGTGGCAAGTTCGCTCCCTGCGATTCGGCGAATCAGGAAAAGAGCATTGCAAGAAGAAGAAGAAGGCGTAGAACGAAAGAAGAGAGCCAAGTATGATTATGTACGTGCTCACAACTGTGTCATGCAGGATTACTTAGGCCCTGACGCACTCTTCGAAAAGTACTTTGAGCGAGTGTTTCGTGTCACAAGATCAATTTGCGAGAAATTGATTCAAGTGGCTGGTAATCATGAAAGCGGATTCTTCATCCATCATGTGAACAAGGTAACCGGTGAACCTGGGATATATCCAGAAGTAAAAGTGTTGATGGCCCTGAAGATTTTGGCTTATGGGGTATCGCCCTCTGCCTTCATGGACTATTTCCAAATGAGCGATAACACTGGAAGAATGTGCTTAAAGAAACTTACCAGGGCTATTGTTGAATCAGACTTGAAAGATCGCTACTTGAAAAAGATGACCCGGTATGATGCCAAGCAAGTTGCAGGCAGACATCTTGCCGAAATTGGTGTAGACGGGTGTATTGGAGCGCTCGACTGCATGCATGTTGAGTGGAAGAACTGTCCAGTTGCATGGCACGGTCAATATGAAGGGAAAGAAGGCTTCCCATCGCTGGTCCTTGAAGCTGTTGCAGACTTCTCCATGCAGATTTGGCATGCCCAATTTGGATGGCCTGGAACGCTCAATGACATCAACATTTGGGACAGGAGTGCATTGCTCAGATCTTTCTTGGACGGTTCCTTTGAACGTGACATTGACTTTCCTTTTACAATCAATCAACAGCATTTTACAAGACTGTGGGTAATGGTAGATGGTACATACCCTGACTTATCGCGATTCGTGAAGACACTTTCAGTGCCACTGACGAAAATGGAGAAGAACTACAGCAAGTGGCAAGAGTCCAAGAGGAAGCTCGTGGAACGGGCCTTTGGCATTCTTCAAAGGAAATTCCAGTGGCTGTGCATGCCAGTCGAATTGTTCTTTGAAGAGGACATTCGCGTTGTTGTGGAGGCGTGCATTATCCTGCACAATATGATGGTGGAAGAGCGACTTTCCAGAGATCAAGAGGAGAGCAGCGATTGGTATCATGAGCCAACAATCAGTCAGGAAGATGGACCAGAACATCCTTTGGCAGGAGATGGTGAGGATGCTGTAGTGGGGCGGCAACCAACACCAAGAGAAAGACTTGATGCAGTGAATGCTCGCTGGCCACAGAACGGTGCTGCTACTGAGGAACACAGAGAAGAAATCCGGGCTGCTATTGACAACCATTTCGAGTTCTTGCAAGGTCAGTTCGATGATCTGTATGATCGCGATGGACACCAGCAGCTTCGATTTGCCATTATGCATGACATTAGCAAATAGAAAATAAAATAAAGAATGGTCCGTTCTACTAAGTTACTCTACGCGTAAAGGTCTTCCTCACCGTCATTGTCAGTGTCGTTGTCATCGTTCTTCTCCGCTTTAATACGGGCTTGCATCTCTCGCAATAAGCGCATATCGGTGGGACTCTCACCAGCTGTTGCTACTTCGGCAGGCACAACCTTCTCCACCTGAACTGGAGAACCGGTTCCATCGGTGTCAGAGCCATCGGTGGTCAAAGAAGAAATGACACTGGACGATTTGGTTTCTGGCCGGATAAAAGAAGTCGAGTTCTGTGCTTTCATTCGCTTAAGACGTTCTTCCAACAGCTGGCGGGCACAATTCTTTCTGCTCTCGGGTGACAAGTACTCCAGGAGTTGCTGGTCGTTCCTGTCGGCAAGACAAGTCGCGAGAGCATCCATGCCAGTTCCAATCTTCTGCATGAATAAGTCCTTGTTACGGCGATGGTCCTTCTTTTCTTGTTCGTCGCTGGAGATTTGGAGTACATTCTTCACGATTGCCTCATCTTTTTTCTGTTGCTTGGCGACTTTGTTTCCTGGTGGTCTTGTGGTCTTGCGCTTCTTGGTATTCTTCTCCTCTATCTTGGCTTCAAAATCGGCCCACTTTGGGCTTCCCTTCAAGAACTCTTTGCATGACACAATAGCTTCCAGCATGTTGCCGCACTCCTTCCCATGCCACTTCTTGAAAGTGTTCTTGATTCCCTCAAGAAACACAGCCTTGTCATTATCTCCAGATGGTGGATCACCAGCGTTATCTTCCACAGACTTGTACTTGAGCACAAGCTTTGATATCTTCCTGAATTGATTGAAATTCGAATGGGCTTTGCGAGGAGGGAAGTTGGTTCCATGCTCAGTGTTGTGCTGTTGCAAGAGCAGGATGTACTTCTGATGAGTCTTCTCTTGAAACTCTGCTGAGGTTTGATCAGTTCCTTCTGCAGCGTCTTCACTGGCAGCAACAAAAGCTTTGCAAAGAAGGTTGCACTCTGCTGTGGTCCATTTTGGGCCTCGACTGCCAGCGGCAGCAACAGGAGGAGCGGCACCTGCCATGGCCGACAAATAACAACAATTTGCAGAGTATTCAGATAAATAAGAGAAGAGTGTGCAGATCTGGTCACTCCTGAGTAGCGCGACCATCAATGAAGTCCTACTTGGTCGGATTGATTTAGTCCAACCATGACAACAACACTGTTCTGGCCCCGATGTTCCTACCAGCAAGCCATGTTTCATTGGACGATTCATTGGATACATGCCGATCCGATGGTCGGGCAGACGTTTGGAAGGTCCTTCGAGGACGGAGCAAACGGGAGAGATTTGCCTTGTCCTCACCGTTGGAGCAAATCAATTTGAGAACTCATGACGTCATATTTGGTTTGGTGGGCATTTGAGTCCTGGCAGTTGACCGGTTTTGCAGCCAAAGCAAATTTGGTTTGGATTTGCTTGCCCCGGTGTTGAATGCTCTAACAGACTTCGTAAACATGACCATTCAAAGCTGAAGCGAACGCCTGAAAGAACGAAAGAACCCCAATCAGAAACATAATAGTACTCGTAATCAAAATCATTTTGCCTTTTGCCTGCAGGCCTGCAGGCCTACCGGTACATGTACAGTGGTCAGTGACAATGACCAGGAAGCAGAGAGCTTCCGACAGCGGGGTCACTCGACGCGTGCTTTTCGTGGACGATTGTTCATGTCTTTTGTAAGTCAAATGAAAAGAGCCATCAAGCCCACAAAAACATTCATTGATTCCTTGCAAAAACAGAATGATGAGATCTCCAACCTGTCTCTCCCTGCTTATCATCGCCTTGTTGCCCATGGCAAAGCTGTGGGTGCTTGCCCACCAACTGTCGGCTCCATGTGCCTTGAGAACGCCCGCACCAATTCCACTTGCTCCAATGCAATCTCGTGTCTACCGCGTTGGAGTGCTCGCCAATCGAGGCGTGGAGAGAGCAGTGTCTCAGTATCAAATGACATTTGGAGACTACTTGACCACCACGGTTGGCCCAAAGTTTGATCCTCCCATTTCGTTTGAAATGGTTCCAGTGCCTATCAGCGAAGCTCCAATAGATGAGCTCCCAAAGCACGACTATGTGTTTGCCAACCCAGCCATTGCTTCCTGCATCGACTCGGAAGTTGGCTTGAAACCGTTGGTCAGTCTCGTATCCAAGCGCAAAAGGGGGGACGAAGTCGTCGAGTTGTCTCAATTTGGGGGTGTGATCTTCACTCAAGCGGGAAACACAGAGGTCAACAATGTGCAAGACTTGAAGGACAAACGCGTTGCAGCTCTTGGTCTTTCCGCGTTTGGGGGGTACGTGAGAGAGGGATTCCTTTGTTTCATTCGCCTTATAAGACGCATCAGTGTCACTCACCAATTTCATTTCTTAGTATCTTCACAGAGCGCAGATGCAATTCCGGGAAATGATCAGGGCCGGCCTCCATCACCTGCAAGATCCCAAGCAAATACTCTTTTGCGAGACCCAGGGAAACATTGTGAAGGCAGTCCTTGATGGGAAAGCAGATGTGGGCTTTGTCAGAACTGATCAACTTGAACAGTTCATTGATCCTGCTACTGATCAAGTCCTGGACTTGTCCAAAGTCAAGATTATCAGACCCTTGCCAGAAGACCTGGCGGATGGAACGCCTTTTCCATTCATCAAGACCACACAGCTCTACCCAGAGTGGCCCTTCTCGAGCACACCCGATGTCAGCGAAGATATTGACCTGGAGGTTCAAAAGAGCCTTCTCGAGCTTTCGCAGCACGCGAGCGCAGCGTCTGCACTGTTGGAGTGCTACGAACAGAGCAACTGTACAAGTAGTCCTCTTCTGGATGAAGATGCCCGAAATGACTGCGAAGAAGCGTGCTTTCATGAGGTTCATCCCGTTGCCTCCGAAAGTTGTTTGGTAGACCGAGAGACAATACTTTTGGCTGACTTGAGTAAAACTGCTGCCAAGAATGCAGGATGGCGGCCATCTCTGTCATACATGACCATTCGAAACTTGCAGAGGGAAATAGACTTCCTACAAAGAAACGATGAAGGCAATTTTCAATGCGTGAGGGCCAAAACCCTTGCAGATGCCGTTGTCTGCCCTCAAGGACACTTCAAGAAAAACGAGAATGATATTGACACCAGTTGCGAGGATCTTGGGATGAGTTGCCACGGCTACAAGTGCGTCTGCAAGCCGTGCGTCAAGGCGTTTGATGTTGACTTTTCTTCTGCGTCGACGACTGCCAAGGGCGGTTGCGACAAGTTTTAGAGTCGCAACTGTCCAACAAAAAGTGATGTGATTGCCTTCACGCAGAACAATCGAAAGACCAATCAAGACGTTGGAAAAGTCAAGGTCCATGTGGAAGAGGAAACCGAACTGTATCCCATGCAGCGAGTTGACGGCAACAGTTCTTCCGAGGAGGTCTTCAGGTACCAGTTTGAGTTTGATGCTACGGACAGGAAAACAGGGTTCCTGATCATGGAAGTCACTGTCACCGAGAACGGAGAAACCGAGCAAATCCCTCAGTCGCCTTTCCGCCTCGAGGTGCAAACCAGAGACTGCCAAGAAGCCACCGGTGATTCTTTGCGGGTTGCTGATGAGAGCGGTAACTGTGTCTGCGAGACCTCATCGGTTGAGATTGGTTCCAGCTGCATCAGTTTGGCTGTGCTGCTTCCTGCCATAATCGTCCCAATTGTCGTGCTCCTCGCCATTGTCATCACTTGCATTGTCATCAAAAACAAGGCAGAGAAGATCTCTGTGGAAGACACAAAGAGATATGCTTTTGGCACCCCACCAACAACAGGAAAGGTCAATTTCGGGCTGTACCTGGCATCATACCGTGGAGCCCAAGTGGCGGTGAAGCAAATCCGTTATGCCAATCAAGGGGTCTCAAATAACCCATCCATTCATTTGAAACAAGGAGGAACGCTAATACCTCTTCTCAAGGCCAGAGTGAAGTCGGAGTTCGACCAGGATGAAACATCTACATCTACGACAGAACTCGGGGATATTGAGACTGGATTTGGGAACAAGTCTTGCCTCTTTGTTGCACATCCGCAGAGTAGCCACAGCTCACCAAGCACTGCTCTCACTGGGAGGGCATTCACTCATTCCTCATCGATGCCCTCATCCTCGCCATCGCCCACGACGCTCAAGCGAGAGATCAAGATACTCTCAAAGCTCCGTCATCCAAACATTGTATCGGGGTATGGCCGGTCGTGACCCAGGTCAAAATAATAGGATCATGAATGGGAAAACACGGACGGATGTCCTCAAAAGCAAAACACATGGCGGATACACATGGAGCAGTTCAGATGCCGCAGAATACAGTACCCACCACAACCCGCA